TCTCCAATGAGTTCTGCATGCTTTGTTTCAATGAAATCAGTACCCTCAGGTAGACCTGTGGAACTTTTTGTATTCATTGAATGCCTTCCCCTTTGGAAAGAACCTCTGCATCAATGAACCAGAGCTGGGGGCAGAGGGCCCTGAGTGAAACCACCACTCTATGAAAAGGCACCAGGACATGGTGGCAGTCCATGGTACTCCTGGTTTATCGCTCCTTGAGGGAAACCTGAGTTAGCTGAGGTGGAAAAAATCAGGGTCCCAGTATTCTCAATCTGTGCATGGAGTGGTTCCACCCTAAGAGTGGGGGGTTGGGTGGTAGAAAGGATCTCTAGTCCTCTTGCTTGTGCTTTCCTGGAATACATTTTTTGCAGCACAGTGTTGGGGAGAAGACAAATGCAAGCAGTTACCTTGCAGGGTGAAACTGTAGCCCCACAGTAGGAGTTCGGGAAAGAGGAGCCCTATCTCTCCCTAACATCTTCACCACACTTGAAAAGAACAGAGCATTGAGAGAAGAGCTTCTGTAACAAAGACCTGGTGAAGTGGAGAGTATGTCAGTAATTCCTCAAATGTCAGACTCTTGCTGTTCTTACTGAGACTTAATAGGTTTCTCAAATGAATGTTTTTCCATTTGCTTTATGCCCTTTGGATAATTTCTAGATACTTCAAATGATTTTTTAAAAAATAATTTTTTACCAGTTAGGCTGTTATTTTGTTGAAGGTCTACAGAGCCCCTTACTTTACCATGCTGGATGTCTCAACCTCAATATATTTTTGAACATAACTTCTGGGTCAAAATGTGGTTCAGCAAAAAGCATCAAAGACTGATGCTTTTGAACTGTGGTGTTGGAAAAGACTATTGAGAGGCCCTTGGACTGCAAGGAGATCAAACCAATCAATCCTAAAGGGAATCAACCCTGAATATCCATTGGAAAGACTGAGGCTGAAGCTAAAGTTCCAATACTTTGGCCACCTGATGCAAAGAGCTGACTCATTAGAAAAAATCTTGATGCTAGGAAAGATTGAAGGCAGGAGGAGAAGGGGACAACAGAGGACAAGATGGCTGGATGGTATCACTGACTAAATGGACATGAGTTTGAGCAAACCCTTGTAGATGATGGACAGGGAAACCTGGCGTGTGCGGTCCATGGGGGTCACAAACAGTTGCACACGACTGAGTGACTGAACAACAACAACAACAAAGAAATGGACTGGATGTCAGGACCCAGAATTTTCATCCACTTGGCTAACAGTAAGTTCAGTGACTTCTCCTGAAATAGTTTCCTCATTTTTAGAATGAAGAAATTTTATTAAAGGACCTCTAAATTCCTTCCAGCTCTAAAATCCAATGATATTATAAAACAGAAAGTCATCAGTGAAAAACATTCTAGTGTAGCTGTGTGAGAACAAGAAATACGCAAACAATCCATTGCCTTTGTTTTAAACCAAAAATGTTCCAACCCATTTCTAGTTAAAGCTAGTACATTTCCAATTCTACCTAGCTAATCAAAATACTAATTTAATGCATGGTTTGCAGTTAAGGCATTTTTCTACCCTAAAGGTTTCTTTCTTAGTCATTAGAACTGAGAAACTGGGGGCAATAGAAGGTTGCCTTTCACTGACTGGTCATTAGAAGTATGACAGCTTAATGCTAAGTGAAAGCACTATAATTTGCTACCATTTTACCCATATTATGAGCACTGGAAACAATTACTTTCTCTTTGAGACAACTTCAAGTTTTCACTTTTTGCATAAGGCTGTAAGGCCATACTCCCAGAGTGTCTATTAAATCTGTACTTATTTGGAGTGTGTGAATAGCAAAATATTAATTCTCCCTATGCATTGCAGAAGAGTTGCTTCAATGGGACACCCATTTCGAGCCACAAAGACATAGTTTATTTAGTACTGATTATCTGCACAGATTGTTACAACAATACATCTGTGGTAAATATGCTTCCACACTGAGTTATTTTATCTTAAACAATTTTAACCAGCTGATTTGACTTCATACTGTCATTTACTATGCAGTTTATATTCAAAATCTATATACTCAAAGCAGGAGAGAAGGGACCTTTCTATAAGAAAGCTGACTTTGTAAACATATTTAAATGCTTTCAACTACCAATACACAGCAGAATATCCTATGATGAAGTTACAAGGTAAGAGAATCATGAGTATATACTGGTCAAAGTTGCATTTCCTGAGACAACCAGCAATAAAGAAGGATAGGAGCAAGATGGCAGTGTGTGCAAAGTGATCCAGAAATAAGGAATCATATTAATTTTAAATATCTTGCCTTTAAAAGCAAAACATATTTTTAAACTAACCATCTTCACACACTGAGCTTTGTCAGCATCTAAGGGAAAAGGCAAAATATTTAACTAAAGGTATAGAAAAGGTTCAAATCCCTGCAGAGGAGAAGTAAATGCATATATTGAGTTTATCCAAATGCTAAGACCTCCTTCTAATTCTCACAAGTGACCATCAGACTTGAGCTGTTCAAAAATTTCCAAAGGAGCCCATCTCCTCACCAAAATATTTCTATGTTAAAACCTTCAGGAAGGAATCTGGCCCAGTTTTTATGATCCCAAATTACCTTGGCTTCAATTTAATCTTTGTAAACTGGGATTCCCTTAGGAAGAAAGTAAAATCTTCAATCTTAAAAATAAAGGGATATTAAGAAACAAAACACTATCCCCTGCTCCATTTTCAGAGCCTATATGCCAAAATTATAGCTTATTAATCCCAAGACATTTAAAAAATATTATTTTGTGATATTAACTTTGAAATTTGTACTTTTGTGTGTAATATTTTAATGTAAAATTAGTACATTATGATAAATGTCCCTATCTTGGAACTTCCTCTGAGTGAATAATCCTAGGAAGTTTTTCTTTCATTTTAATTTGTCTACTATGTCAGTGTATAGAACCACCTTAATAAGATGGAGTTAAGAGAAAAAAATTTAAGACTTAGTTGTAGCCCCTACAGTAACTGTGTTTTTCAGGTAATTAAAGCTTTTATTAGCTGAAAATACTGGTTAATGACCACAGTGACCCAATGGTCTAGAGACCACCTCCAATCATATGAAAGTACTTTCAAATTTCTTAGTGGGGGAATTATCCCCACCCTAAAAACATTCCTGTCCTTCTTTGACTATATGTTTCCCATATCACAAAATCACTTACTTTGAAAACCACTATTCACATTCAAAATGAATATTACTAATGGTTATTTCAATTTTACCTGCTTGATTATGCAACAAAATTAAATATTTTCTATCAGCAACATTAAAAATGTACAGAGGAATTAACAGAAGCAGAATTTCTATCTAGACTAACCATTATTTCTAGTAATGGAGCTGGGTTATTCAAAGGACATGTTTTTTTGGTTGCTGTTCCTCAGAAAAGCAATCACATCTATGGTATTAGAGTAAGAAATGTCCCAAACCTCCCCTCATATTGCAGCTGATTAAGCATCTCAGTGTTAACTTCAACTCCAAAAGCAAAATCCTACCACTTGCTCTGGTATCAAAGACTAACCACAAAATACTAGCTTCAAGCTACTTATCTCATCATCTTTATATAACAAAACTGGAGACTAGACTTAGATAAGCTTAGATATCTACCTACTAATGACAACAACATAAATCGGAAAAAAAATTAGTCTCATCCATACCAAATTATCATTTAAAACACAATAAAACCACAGACCAATAAAATAGATATTTTAACACCTTTTCTGAGAAACAAAGCCTCATTATATACAGTTATGAGAAACAAAGCCTTATTATATACAGTTTTTCAAGCTGAATGATTACTACCAAACAAATTAAAGCAAATTCAAGCTGGAAAAGGAAAGGAACTTTCTAAGTGAATATATACCAACATTTTATTAATTATTCCTAACCAGTAAAACTTAATTATTTTGTTTGGGCTCCTCCTTGTTATTTCAAGCTTAAACTCATTAAACTACCGAAAAAGGAAGGGAAGATCTGGTAATAAAGTAATTCTGAAGTGTCAACACAGATTAGAGGCTTGATCATCTAAATATTTTTGTAATCCTCTATTTGTCTAAAGGTTATTAATAATTGTTAAATAGATTTTGCTTTATACACATGTGTGTGTGCACACATCCCATTCGGTTGTTTCTTTGTATAAATTCAGATAGCAAAAGCAGTGCATTTAAGATGGAAACAGAAAATCCAATTAACATCCTAAGCTTTTTAGATCACTCCCAGTATGCTGCTGCTGCTATATCGCTTCAGTCGTGTCTGACTCTATGTGACCCCAGAGATGGCAGCCCGCCAGGCTCCACCATCCTTGGGATTCTCCAGGCAGGAACAGTGGAGTGGGTTGCCATTTCCTTCTCCAATGCATGAAAGTGAAAAGTAAAAGTAAAGTTGCTCAGTCGTGCACACCCAGTATAGTAAGTCTCAAATTATAACAAGGTTTGAGAGTCTTTAAAGACAAATTATGATTTTTTGTCCAAAACAAAAGCTACATCTCATTTGGTGGAAAAATAAAATTCCCAGCACTAGATGACAGTGATAATGCTGATTAATGATGAACATTCTATATATCAACATGAGAATCAAGGTTTTTCCTCTTAAAGATATATGGTGGCAAGTATTTCTAAAAACTTAAGTATTGTTATCTATCATTCAAGTATTTCGATGGAGAAAGAAAAATCTACACTTTTAAAAAAAGAAATAGATACTTTTCTTCTAAATTGTCAGCATAAAACAGATTTGAAAAACTACAAAAATTTTGGAAACCAAGCTGATTTATCTGGTTATTGATATCAAATGACTGTCAGGCCTCAAAAATGGAAATGGGGTATAGTCAAGTAGTAACAACAATTATGCTTTGATCACAACTAAGGCAGTAACAAGAAAATAATTAGGAGATAAATACAGATTCCACATCAAATAGATTGTGAAAGATGTAAAACTCAATTCCCTTTTCAAATAAATCTTATCTAAAAGAAGGACTATAGAAAATGGGAATGTCTAATTTTTTTTTTTAATAAAACAATCCTGCCTCAGTGCAAATGTGTAGTCAAGGTAAAAAGACGAAGGAAGGAAGGAAATGAGAGAGGGAGGGAGTGAGTGAGTAAGGGAACGATGAAGGAAGAAAAGAAAATGTGAAAAGAAAATGTTTCATATGACTTAGCAGGAACAGTTTCCACAGCCTTTGACACTGTTGAAAATTTCTTCTTGTAGTCTCTTCCTTTCTTCTTCTTTGGACACATTTTCTTTCTCTGCATCCCATTTGGGGTTATCATGGTTCTGCACACGGCTGCTCTGTGTATGCCACATTTCTGAATAGATACTGCTAGGGTTAGCAAGCAAATCATGGTGGGTACCACGTTCAGCTACCTTACCCTAATAAGCAAAAATAAGAGAAACATATACAAAGTCATATAACTAGCATAATAATTGAAAACACATAATACTTTCCAAGTAAGAATTTTGAAAGATTGCATTCATTAAAATAATTTTCCCTATTTCTTAATTACAGTATATGTGGGAAAATTCAAGGTAGGAATGCCTTCGTTACTGCTGAGCTACCAGTATGATAAAAAACCAAAAAGCTATGAAATTCTATATAACATAAAGTATTTCACTTAAAAAAAATAAAGTCTGAATTTTTTTTTTCATTTTGAAGAGCAGAAAAGGAAGGTGAAGATTTTCTAAAGGTGGTATTTTCTGTAATCAGTAAATCATATTTAAATCAAAAGCACAGTTATACAGAGATTTAAAGGATTTAAAAATAATATGCCAAAACCCTATGTGTACTTTGAAATAAACAAGATTCCTCCATGATGTTTATTTCTTCCAGTAGCTATTTTTCTTTTTTTTTTTTTTGAATTTTTAACTTAATTTTTTTTCCCCCATTTATTTTTATTAGTTGGAGGCTAATTACTTTACATCATTACAGTAGTTTTTGTCATACATTGAAATGAATTAGCCATGGATTTACATGTATTCCCCATCCCAGTCCCCCCTCCCACCTCCCTCTCCACCCGATCCCTCTGGGTCTTCCCAGTGCACCAGGCCCGAGCACTTGTCTTATGTACCCAACTTGGGCTGGTTATCTGTTTCACCCTAGATAATATACATGTTTCAACAATAGCTATTAAACACTGCATAGATTTGGTATTGATGCCAAACTCTTACATCTGCAATTAATTTGTCTCTTGAGAGCTACTGTTAAACATACTGGAAGACAAAAGTAATTTTGTCACTTTCAGTGGTGCTCCTGGTGATATGACCTTTAAAAATATAACCTTAAGCTAAATAACTGAAATTTGTATGTGCCCACTTCTGAGTGGTTAATTTAAGCATCTCCTTGATTTGGCTGGAGAGTCTGAGAATTATTTTGCTCTGCTAATTGAATTCCTCTGGATCCTGCATGTAGTCCTCAACCCCAAGGTGTGTGGACAACTTCATTGGCATAAAAGTCCCCATGGTTACATATTTTATACTTTTTTATTTACCACTGTAAAAAAACAAAATAAAATTCTCAATGAACAGATACAGAAAACAAATTTATGGTCACTAAAGAGGACATGGAGGGGAAAAGGACAGTCGAGTATGGAGTTAATAGATACAAACTACTATATATAAAATAGATAAGCAAAAAGGATTTACTGAATAGCACAGGGACTTTCCTGGTGGCTCAGACGCTAAAGAATCCGTCAGTAGTGCACGAGACCCAGGTTCAATCCCTGGGTTGGGAAGATCCCCTGGAGAATGGAATGGCTACCCACTCTAGTATTCTTGCCTGGAGAATTCCATGGACAGAGGAGCCTGGCAGGCTACATTCCATGGCATAGAAAATTGATTTAAGAATCTGCCTGCAATGTAGGAGACCCAGGTTCAATCCCAGGTCGGGACAATTCCCTGGAGAATGGAATGGCTACCCACTCTAGTATTCTTGCCTGGAGAATTCCATGGACAGAGGAGCCTGGCAGGCTACATTCCATGGCATCGCAAAGAGTCAGACATGATTGAGCAACTAACACTTTCCTTTCACTCACAGGGAATTTTATTCAATATCTTATAGTAACTTAAAATGGAATATAATCTAAAAAAAAAAACCTGAATCACTAACACAACATTGTACATCAATTATACATCAATTAACAAAATCTTCTATGAAAGCTGCATCAAAAAATATTAGAAAGAATGGAACTATTTTTGCAGAAAAGTAATGAAATAAATTATAAAAATTTATCCTGTAGTAAAAATGTGTAGTTTAAATTATTTTACTTGTATTAAAGCATAAATGTACATAGCTTAAAAGTAATTACAAAGCTGATAAAAAGTACATTCTTTTGTCTCCTCCTTCTCTACTCTTGAATACCTCCTTCTTATCCCCCAATTTGTAGCTATTTATTCTAGCATTTACACACACAGATACATATTAATGAGATCCAGCACTTTCAACTATTCCACTTTCCCATGCCTCAAATTCACTCTCCTAATAACATTGGTTATATCATAAATGTTATTTAATATACAGTGTTTGCTTTATCATAACTATGTATTACCTGTTGTCAGGTACTAGGACTTTATATATACTTTCTCCTAATTTCTTATTCTTCCTGGACTTAGTAATTGCCTTATTTTTTAATTTGCTTAATTTTCTATGTCACTATTGGTAATCCGTTCTAAACTTTAAGCTTGTCTGAACAGTGTTTTCCTCATTATCAACTATGTTATGTAATCTATTATTTAGCAACCCCCCCACCAGAAGATATTTCTCTTACAGCTTTTAAGCTGTTTTCCTTATCCTCAATTCTGAAATTTTATGATAATTTGTGTATTCTTTTTCCTCCCTCCGTTTATTGTGGTGGCTATTTGCTAGGCCCTTTCAATCTGGAAACTCATGCTCTGAAGTTCTGGACATTTGGGGGATATTAGTCTTTGGTTATATCCTTCCTTTGTCTGACTGCCTTTTTCTAGAATGTTAGTCAAATGTTGGACCTCTTAAGACTAATTTTCTTGTTTTCAAATCTTTCCTCTATTTTCTCTCTTTTTGTTTTACTCTTTAGAGATTTCCTTGACTTTATTTCAGCAATGACAGTTTTGATTTCCAAAATCTCTTGTTCTCCAATTGTTTCTTATTTATTTACCATCCCATTTCAAATTTGAAATGATGCAAGAATGGCAAAAATGAACACCTATATATGCTTCTCCTGGGTTAGCAACTGTTACTTTTTCCACATTTGCTTTCTCTCACTTGATCCTATCTCTAAATTTAGATTACTTTTTGCTAAATTATTTAAGAGTGAATTGTGGACATCATAACATTTCACCCTAAGTATTTGATTAGCATGTATCTCCTGAAAGGGCTTCCCAGGGGGCACTAGTGGTAAAGAATCCGCCTGCCAATGCAGGAGATGAAAGGTTTGATCCTTGGGTCAGGAAGATCCCCTGAAGAAGGAAATGGCAACCTGCTCCAGCATTCTTGCCTGGAAAATTCCACGGACAGAGGAGCCTGGTGGGCTGCAGTCCATGGGGTCACAAAGAGTTGGACATGACTGAGCATGTACACACACACACCTGAAAACAAGGACATTCTCCTATATGACTGGAATACAACTATATCACACCTAAGAAATTCATCTAATTTATAGTCCATATTCAGATTTTACCAATGATCCCAATAATACACACACACACACACACACACACACATATATACATATTTTCCATCCAGGATCCAATCAGGATCAACATGTTGAATTTATAAGTTTTCTAGTCTGTGTGAGTATAATAACATTTCTAAAATATCCAGGCTTATTTTCTAAAGAATGAACTTCAGTTTGTATTTCTCTAGTTTTTCCTGATTCTTAGATCTAGGCTAAACATTTTTGCTGAAATACAATATAGGTGATGATACGTCCTCAGTGTATCATATTAGAAGATATATGATGTCAGTTTCCTCCATAATTAATGATATTAAGTTTGATCATTTGGTTAAGGCAATGTCTACCAGATTTCTCTATTTTAAAGGTATTTTTTCTTTGTAATAGTAAAGTAATCTATGGGTTAAGTGACTATTCTATTCCCCAATAGTTTTTTACCATATGGTTTTAGCAAACGATGATATTTATCTAAATCTTTTACTACAATGGTGGCTGTAAAATGATTTTCTAAATGTATCATTGCTTATATGTGTGTTAACATTCTTCTTTTTATTGAGTTACAATTACCATACAATATTGGGTGGGATGGAGGGCCATGAAGGAGAGGATATATGTATACATACAGCTAATTCACTTTGTTGTACAACTTTGTAAAGCAACTACACCCCAATTAAAACAAAAGAAAGCATACAATATATGTTTCAGATGTATAACACAGTGATTGTTTTTATATATTATGAAATGATTACCTAAGTTCAGTTACCATCTGTCACCATACAAAGTTATTATATTATTGACTATATTCCTTATGTGTAAATTAGTTTGTACCTCTTAATACCCTTCACCTATTACATCTATCTCCCCACTCTCTCCCCTCTGGCAATCACCAGTGTGTTCTCTGTATCTATGGTCTGTTTCTGTCGTTTGTTCATTTGCTCAGTTTTTTCAGACTCCACATATGAGTAAAATCATACGGTATATATTTTTCTCTGATGTATTTTCATTTGGCTTGGCATAATACCCTCCAGGTCCATTATGTTGCTGTAACTGGCAAGATTTTATTTTTAAAGAAGAGCTTTCCCTAAGCATTACTATAGAATTATAGATTTACTTTTTATTCAGTGTGTTGTAATTTATAAGTATCATTTTTTAATGTTCAAATTATCCCACATTTGGCCAGTGGGAATCCACTCAAAATGCTCCTTCATTCTTTTTGTTGAGGAATAGCATGTTGTGTAAGATCTAGGTGCTAGTTATACTCAGTACTACTGGGATTTCATTGCTTCTAGACCTTTTCCCTGAACAGTTAGGAACTTTTCATCATAAACTAATGTTGATAATTCTGTTCCAATATAACATCACGAGGTTCTTCCTCCCGTTCTCCTATTCCATATCTGTATCTTTCTTCTCCCAAGTAAGACCTTTATTTCTCAACAACATCAATATATTAACTCATATGCTCAGTCATATGATACACAGAAAATAGTTTCAAAATAGATACTCCCATACTACCAACAACAAACTTACTAAGTTCAAATCTGAGTTATATTTATCCTTATATTCTACTAAGGCTAAAAAATAAGAGTAATATGTTCAAAAGTTATTACTTGGGTTGGTTCTACATGCTATTTTTCTTCTTCATGGTTATGTTATCAATTCTTTATGCAGATAGTTTTATTTTTTTCTGTTTGCTTTAAATTCATATATTTTTTTAAATTTAGTTTTTTTCACTCTCCTGTTTCACCTTCATCAAGAGGCTCTTTAGTCCCTCTTCACTTTCTGCCATTAGAGTGGTATCATATGCATATCTGAGGGTGTTGATATATTTCCCGGCAGTCTGGATTCCAGCTTGTGACTTATCCAGCCTGTCATTTCACATGATATACTCTGTATATAAGTTAAATAAACAGGGTGACAATATACAGACTGTCATACTCCTTTCCCAATTTTGAACCAGTTGTTCCATGTCTTGTACGCTTCTTGACCCACATACAGGTTTCTCAGGAGACAGGTAAGGTGGTCTGGTATCCCTATCACTTTAAGAATTTTCCAGTTTGCTGTGATCCACATAGTCAAAGACTTTAGTGTAGTCAATGAAGCAGAGGTTGATGTTTTTTTGTAACTCCCTTGCTTTCTGCATGATTCAGTGAAATGTTGGCAATTTGATCTCTGGTTCCTCTGCCTTTTCTAAATGAAGCTTGTACATCTGGAAGTTCTCGGTTCACAAAGTGCTGAGACCTAGCTTGAAAGATGTTAAGTATAATCTTACTAGCATGTGAAATGAGCTCAACTGTACAGTAGTTTATAATCTTTGGCACTGTCCTTCTTTGGGACTGGAATGAAAACTGACATTTTCCAGTCCTATGGCTTATACTTGTTAAGGTACTTTTAATGTTTTATATTTATAAGAAAAGGCTCTATGTATATGATGGCATACAATTGAAAAGTTCAGTAAAAAGCATAAGAGCATATTTTACTTCAGATACTTAAACATCAATGAGATAATAAAGTATATTTATAAAACTTCCAATTTTAGACATTCTGGACAATTATACTGAAAAAAATCAGTATACTCTTTAGTGAATATTAGCATTTTTGAGCAAGTGGTAACATAAAAAAGAAATAATATCCATATCACGGAAGTAAACATCCTATAAGAAATTTTAGTGATGCAAAAAATTCTCTCTCAGTACAGAATGTAGAGGAGAATGCTTCTCTCTCAACTCCCAGTACTTATGCTTTCAAAATGATAAAGAATTGAAGGTTTACTTGTTAGACGGTAAAAATAAACATAGAGAACATCATTAGAAATAATCAAGTACAAAGGTGGGTGGAGATAAAATATCCCTACAGAGAGGAGAAAAGTAAAACTATTACAATTTTCAAATCTACCAATTGCAATAGTGGCACTCTGATCTGTTCAGAATATTTAGAGAGTACACTCTTATAGTAATTCCCTCAGAGAAATAAAGTAGGCTGTCATTTTTCTTACTTTCCTCATGAAGAAAAATACAAAATAAAAATGGCCATGTTTGAAAATGACCACTTTATTTTATGGTAATTTTCTTTTAAACATCAAGGGTGTGTGCAGGTATTAGGAAAATGAAAATATGAAATACACTGAAGACATTAAGCAAACATTCTGTACGGAGCAAAAATGAATGCAGAAAAATTGTTTTAAATACAAAACCTTTAAAAGTGTTTCTAACATATTAGGATTTAATGCTTTCCTCATCTAACTTTGCTCTTAAAATGTTAATAAAGTGTGAATTAAGCTCCTCATCCCTCCTCCTCTTCCTACTCCTTCCACCCCCTTCGCAGCCTCCGCCTCCACTTCCCTGCACCCACTGAGGAGCTCTGGCAATAAGAGTGGTGGCCGCGGTGGCAGTAGTGCCTGCAGCTCCAGCTCAGGTCCATCTCACTCTGCAGCAGCCATTAGACCCCCTGCACTCCAGCTCGATGGGCTGGGAGCAACTCGCTCCCCTGGGCCACAGTGACACCGCCCTCCTTTGGTGCTCCTCCCCGAGGAGCCGAGTTTGCGCTGGGTCAGCCTGTCCGCCTGGCACTGCCCTGGCCCTCTCGGGCCACATGAGACTGCCCATGCCCAGCTCCGCTGCCATGGGCTGTCTTGAAAACAGAATAGACTGAGGACTAGCACAACGAGGAGAAAGAGCAGCGTGAGGCCAACAAGAAGATCAAGAAGCAGCTGCAGAAGGACAAGCAGGTCTACCGGACCATGCTCCATCTGCTGCTGCTGGTGAATCTGGTAAAGGCACCACTGTGAAGATCCTGCATGTTAATGGGTTTAATGGAGAGGGTAGCAGAGGACCCACAGGATGCAAGGAACAACAGGGATGGACTATATAACCCCTAGATGATGGCTTCAATTTCTCATCTTCCTGGCTATGTCCTATCACACTTCACATGCTGGAATTGCCAGTGTTCAGTTCAGTTCAGTTCAGTTCAGTTCAGTCACTCAGTCATGTCTGACTCTTTGTGACCTTGTGAATCGTAGCACACCAGGCCTTCCTGTCCATCACCAACTCCAGGAGTTTACTCAAACTCATGTGCATTGAATCAGTGATGCCATCCAGCCATCTCATCCTCTGTCGTCCCCTTCTCCTCCTGCCCCCAATCCCTCCCAGCATCAGGGTTTTTTCCAGTGAGTCAACTCCTGGAATGAAGTGGCCAAAGTATTGGACTTTCAGCTTCAGCATCAGTCCTTCTTAGGAACTTCTAATAAGAATACTATTGTGTTGTTGGGGGATGGGCCCCAACACCTAACCTCTAAAGACAACTGAAAAAATTTTTTAAAAACAAACAAAAAACAATAACAAAAGTAATCCCTAACTGAAAAATATGTAGTGTATCAACCAACCAAAGCATCTAAATAAACAGTAATTGACAGCTTACTGTACCAAAAGTTGGCATTTGAGAGCTATGATCCCTCTCTATTGAACCACCTCCCTATTGAACCACCTCTTGTGTACTTCCTAGATGCTATACTAGATCCCTGATTGAACCCTACTAATACCTACTAACAGCCTGCTCTTCTACTGGTGACTCTGTTCTACAAGTAAAACTTAAGTATTAACAAATGTGATAAATAAAAATTCTCTGCATGTCTCAGCAAAAAAAAGAGTGAATTAATACATTTTATTCATTTTTGTAAGTGGCATAGGTTGTTCCTATCAATGGAGATAAAAATGGAATCCTATCAGGATACAATCTTATTCAAAGAACACAAATTTTAAAAATTTCTTTAGAAACAATGTAAGTTGCTTGTGTTTGCAATAATTTCTAATGTACTTCAAACATTAAACTTTAAAGTTAAATGTCTTACCTGGTTCAAGACAATAATTTCATCTGCATCAACCACTGTTGACAATCTGTGTGCAATGAAAATAGAAGTTCTATGTTTCACTGCATCCCTCATGGCACCAAGAATAGTCTGCAAGTTTGACAACAAGAACAGTAAGGGGGAGAGATTTATCTATTAGGTAAATGTAAATTAAAATATCAATATATTTCTTAAAAGAACACATAAAATGCCAGTTAATTTTGTTACATAAACTTTATACCACTACCAAATATTGTACCCAATCTAATAGTTACGAACAAGAGAACAAATCAAAGAGAGAAGGCAAACATGACCACATTATCATGGAAAAAGCTAGCTTTAAGATAGGCAACCACTTCTTTAAATTAGGTGGATATTTCCCATACTTAAAAACAAACAAATAAAATGAATCCACTGATGGCGGGAGAATAGCTAGGTATGATGTTTATCTGGCCAGACAGCAAAAACAAAATAAATAGGTAACCAAGTGATATGATGCAGAGAAATTTTAAAAAATCAAGAAAAGATATAAGACTCAAAGAGCACAGGAGCATTTTATTTTCCTTAGTTCTAACTCAGAGGACAGAAAGATTGACAAGGATAACTGTTCATGTCTAACTTGAAGAAACTTCTTTTTCAGAAGTATTCTGACTTCTTGAGGTATTCTGGAAAACACATCTTTTTTGCTTACTGTCTATAAAATATAAGAGAGGGCTTCCCTGGTGGCTCAGTGGTAAAGAATCCACCTGCAAGGCAGGAGACACAGGTTTAACACCTGGGTTGGCACAATTCCTTGGAGAAGTAAATGGTAACCCACTCCAGAATTCTTGCCTGGGAAATCCCTTGGACAGAATAGCCTAGTGCGCTATAGTCCATGGGGTCACAAAAGAGACATGACTTAGCCACTAAACAAAAATAACAAAAAAGTAAGGCAGCTGTATATATATTCAGCTATACTTGGAAACCTGGGTCTAAGTACAACTAGCTAGATGGAAATAGCAATATGGGGGATGGGGATAGGACCAATGTCTTCCTATAGGCATATCTAATCACTGTATTTATTAAAGGAATAAAAATACCTGAGTAGATGGTTACCCAGGAAAAGAAGACCTTAAACTTTACTATGGCAGGCTGAAAATCAAGTGCAGACTGAAAACCTAAGAAAAACTATGATGCTTGAGGCATCATATCTTACACTCAAAAACTTAAAACTGCCATCCTAATGATGCTCTGGACCTTTTTAAAAGGTCAATTCAAACTTACTAAATCTTCTGATAACTCATTCCCTCAGCAGGGGACTCTCTTCTGCTGGCAATTAATGGATTATGCTCCTTGAGATAATAAAGGTATGTGACTCAAATAATGACTGTTGTGGGGACTCCGAATTTGCAATACATGTGGATGACACATTTTTAGATTTAAAGTTCTTGTAAGCAGATTCCTAGTCTGCTCGTGAATGGGGTCTAATGCAGCTTAAGGTTCTCTTTAAATATAACAAATTGTCAGATTAGCTTAAGATGGCAGAGTAGAAAGACATGAGCTTACTCTTACATAAACACCAAAATCACAACAGACTACTGAATAACCAAAGGCAAAAAAAAAAAAAAGCTTGAACCTAGCAAAAAAGATACCCTACATCCAAAGGCAAAGAAGACACAATAAGATGGTAGGAGGGGCGCAACATGATAAAAATTATACCACAGAAGTTCTTCCACAGGAGTGAAAGTCCTAAGTTTCACGTCAGGCTTCCCAGCCTAGTTCCAAAGAGATGGGGAAAGCAGAAATGCCACTCTTGGAGGACAGACACAAGGTTGTGTGTGCACCAGGACCCAGGATAAAAAAGCAGTGACTTCATAAGATACTATGCAAGACCTATCTGCTAATACTAGAGGGTCTCCTGTAGAGACAGGTGGCAGCTGTGGTTCACTATGGGGATAAAGACACTGGCAGTAGCAGATCTGTGGAGTGCTCATTGATGTGAGGCTACCAGGAAGCCACCATTAACCCCACCCCACCACAGACAAGTGGCTTCAAGTCTCCATGAGCATGGCCCTACCCACCAGAAGGACAAGACCCAGATCCACTCATCACAGGGTAGGAACCAGTCCCTCCCATCAGGAAGCCTACACAAACTCCTTAGACAGCAGCATCCACCAGAGAGCAGACAGCAGAACCAAGATGAACTACAATCCTGCAGCTGGCAGAATAGAAACTATATCCAATAGAAAGTTGGATAAAATGAGATGGCAGAGGAATATGTCCTAGATGAGAGAACAAGATAAAACCCCAGAAGAAAAACTAAGTGGAGACAGACACCTATTAGAAAAATAACTCAGAAATGATAGTGAAGAAGATCCAAGATCCTGAGATAAAAAAAGACCAAAGATTGAGAAAATGCAAGAAAGGTTTAACAGAGACCTAAAGGAACTAAAGAACAGAGATGAATAATACAATAACTGAAATGAAAAATACATTGGAAAGAATCAACAGCAGAATAACTGAAGCAGAAGAAGAGATAAGCGACCAGAAAGACAGAATGGTAGAAATCACAGAATAAAGAAAAAAAAAAGAAAAGAAAAGAAGTCAGTCTAAGAGACTTTTGGGCCAATATTAAACACAACAACATTCACATTATAGGAGTCCCAGAAGGACAAGAGAGAAAAAGGACGTGAGAAAACATTCTGAAGAGACAATAGCTGAGAACTTCCCTGACATGGGAAAGGAAACAGTCATCCATGTCCAGGAAGCACAGGGAGTCCCAGGCAGGATAAACCAAAGTGGGATATACCGAGACACATAGTATTCAACTTGACAAAAATTAAAGACAAAAAAATACTAAAAGCAACAAAGGAAAAACAACAATTAACATACAAGGGAACTCTTTAAGGTTATAAGCTTATTTCTCAACAGAAACTCTGCAGGTCAGAAGGGATTGGCACAATATATTTAAAGCAATGAAAGGGAATAACCTACAACCAAGAATACTCTACCCAGCAAGGTTCTCATTCACATTTGATGGAGAAATCAAAAGCTTTGCAGAAAAGTTAAAGCTAAGAGAATTCAATATCACTAGACTGACTTTGCAACAATTACTTAAGTTACTTCTCTAAGCAGAAAAGAAAAGGCCACAAATAGAAACAGGAAAATTATGAATGGAAAAACTCACTGTATATAAAGGAAAATATACATTAAAGGAAGGAAACAATCTACACAAAAATATGATATCAAAGCCAGCAACTGTGAGGAGAGGAGAGCACAAATGCAGGGTATTGGGAACAAATTAGAAATTAAAAGACCCGCAACTTAAAACAATCTTGCTAATATAAAGACTGCTTTATCAAAACTGGGCTTCCCTGGTGGCGCAGCAATAAAGAATCCATCTGCAATGCAGGAGACACAAGAGACTCGGGCTCAATCCCTGGGTTGCAAAGATCCCCTGGAGAAGGAAATGGCAACCCACGCCAGTATTTCTGCCTGGAAAATCCCATGGACAGAGGAGTCTAGTGGGCTATGGTCCATGGGATCACAAAAAGTTGGATACGACTGAAGTAACTGAGCATGACAAATACCAAAACCTCATGGTAACTGCATACCACAAAACTAAAATATTAACAGATACACATACAAATAAAAAAAAGGAATCCAAACACAACACTAAAGTTAGTCATCAATTTACAAGAGAACAAAAGAGGAAGAAGAGAAAAAAAGACCTACAAAAAAATCCGACAAATCAAAACAGTGAACAAATGGCAATAAGGATATATATACACATTGATAATTACCTCAAATATGAATGGATTAAATGCTCCAACCAAAAGACACAGACTGGCTGAATAGATACAAAAATAAGACCACTCTATATGCTGTTTATGAGAGACCAATTTTAGACCTAGGAACACATATGGACTGAAAGTGATGGGATGGAAAAAGGTATTCCATGCAAATAAAAATCAAAAGATGGAGTAGCCATACTCCTATGAGAAGAAGCAGACTGTAAAATAAAGACTGTCACAAGAGACAAAGAAGGACACTACATAATGACCAAGGAATCAATCCAAGAAGAATATATAATAATTATAAATATACATGCATCCAATATAGGAGCACCACAATACATAAGGCAAACACTAAGAGCCATAAAAGGGACAAATCAACAGTAACACAATAATAGTGGGGGGACTTTAACACCCCACTCTCTTCAGTGGACAGAACATCCAGACAGAAAATTAATAAGAAAATACAAGCTTCAAGACAGACTTAACTGAGATTTACATGACATTCCATCTGAAAGCAGCAGAAAATACTTTCTTCTTAAGTGCACAGGGAACATTCTTCAGGATAGATCACATTTTGTGCCACAAATCAAGCCTCAGTAAATTTAAGAAAACTTAAATCATATCAAGCATCTTTTCTGACCACACTACGAGATTAGAAATCAATTACAAAAAGAAAAAAAAACCTGTAAAAAACAAAAACACCCAGAGGCTAAAATATATGTTACTAAATAACCAACATGTCACTGAAGAAATCAAAAAGGAAACCAAACAATATCTAGAAACAAATGACAATGAAGACATGATGACCCAAAACCTTTGGGATACAGCAAAAGCAGTTCAGAGAGAGAAGTTTACACAGCAATTCAATCCTACCTCAAGACACAAGAAAAATATCAAATAAACAACCTGACCTTATACCTAAAGCAACTAGAGAAAGAAGAACAAAAAACTCTTAAGTAGTAGAAGGAAAGAAATCATAAAGATCAGAGCAGAAATAAATGAAATAGAAATGAAGAAAACAGTAACAAAGATCAATGAAACCAAAAGTTAGCTCTTTGAGTAGATCAACAAAACTGATAAACCTTTAGTCAGACTCATCAGGAAAAAAAGGGAGAAGATTTGAATCAATAACATTAGAAATGAAAAAGAAGTTACAACACTACAGAAACACAAAGGATCATAAGAAACTACTACAAGCAACTATATGCCAATAAAACGGACAACATGGAAGAAATGGACAAATTCTTAGAAAAGTATAACCTTCCAAGACTGAACCAGGAAAAATAGAAAATATGAACAGACCAATCACAAACTCTGAAATTTAAACTGTGATTAAACATATTCCAACAAACAAAAGCCCAGGGCCAGATGGCTTCACAGGTGAATTCTATCAAATATTTAGAGAAAACCTAATATCAATCCTTCTCAAAATCTTCCAAAAAATTGCAGAGGGAGGAATACCCCCAAGCTCATTCTACAAGGCACCATCATCCTGATACCAAAACCAGACAAACGTAT